GCGTGGTCCATGATAACACTCACAGAACTCGAAACCCTATTCAAGACGACATTATTGTGTTGTTTGTATCGTTAGGTGGCGCTCAACACATCGTTTGACAGTTTTCAGCTGCGACAAGGTATGATTGGACGACGAGAGGTGACGAACCTTTGTGACGTAGTAGGAAATTATGCCATCAATCTATGCAGTGAGGTCCCTTCCTATTGGCTAACCTGATTTGGGTGTCGTAAGAAGAAAGGTGCGAAAGTTACCATATAATTTTTCCATCACCACGTCACAGACATCGTCGATCACATGACCATCGGAGGACTATGACGTCATGTTTTTGCAGCCAAAAGCAAATTCTGTAGAACTTTGCAGGAATTATGAATATGTCGTGTATGTCCTATCTGTGAAATTGAAACATATTATGCAAGGAAACCCATTTACCTTCTAGACTTCACTGTCATACACTATTGAGTGACTGACTGACATCTTTTTTGCTAAATGGTATAGCATACATAAAATGAGCTGTAACAGGTTCGTAAGCATTTTGTCTACATCAATAACCCACTACTTCTAATGGCCAAATTTAAACTGATTGAATCTTTGTGCAGCACAAAACGTACACCATTCGGTAAAAGGGTCTGAAAATTAGACTATTACTTAGGTTATTGCAATCACTTAAGTCTATTCGTCAACTAATGGTCGTTAAGTTCCCACTAATAGCCATTTTCAAGCCGTTTCGTTTTGAGGGAAGTCCTAAATTATTATAATATTGTCTTTCAAATGCCGTTGAATTTAACCTTTTCATTGTTTGGACCTGCAAATGGTAAAGACATGTCTTAAAGACATGATTTGGAAGGAAGCTCACATTAGATTAGAGGAAACAACTGAAGACAGGCAAATAATTAATTATGTTGTTTTATTAATTAAATATTTGATCTTAGTAGGGAGAAAATGAAGCTTCCAAATATTGAAGCAATGGGAGAAAAGTTGCTTAAAAGTAAACAAGAAGAAAGAAAGTTTGCTACCGAGCGAAATACATTGACACTACACTATAAAAATGGGAACATTTTGAAAGTATCACACATCCGTATGAAATGAAACATACAATGGATGAGGAATGGAGGGGTTCGCCGGGTTCGCAATCGTGTGGAGTTGACCGCACTCTCTTCTCTTCTCTTCTTTCTGTTTGTCTGTTTTGTTTGTTTGTGTGTCTGTTGTTTGTTGTTTGTTGGGGGGAAGAAGAATGGGGAGGGGAGGGGAAGGCTTTGATCTATAATATTCATTCAGTATAATCAATTTGAAGACATTATATACTATGCATTTAAGTATATTATGTATTTCTGAGGGCTGTACAACTTTCTTTACATTTTGTTATGTATGATTTTTCATTTGTATTGAATGAATGCAATAAAGAATGCTACGGTTGCTTGTTCAAAGATATTATCCATCCAATTTTCAAAATTTCCCCAAATTTTGCATTACCTTTAAGGCGTAGCCTGTGTTTTCCCCCAGTGGGATTACCAACATCCATCGCTTGTGGAGGCCGATGGAGGGGAAGGGGGTGGAAAATTGCTGTGCAATGTTAAATTATATACTATTAATCAAAATTGATGTCGAAATATTGAAACATGACATTCTAAGTTAATATAATATATAAGTGGGGGGGGGGGGGGGAGTTACCGATGGCACTTACTCCGCCCCCTTGATACGCCTCTTTAAAAAGTGCAAATTGTTTTAGAATCATATTCCATGTCTGAGTTATGTAATCATTTTATGTAATGTTTTTGCATTACAATTATAATACACCATTGTTTATTCATTCACGGTGGTATCATATCATGTCAAAATAATATCAATTCTTGAAGTTTATATATTTTGTAGACGATGATATGAGTGTGTTTCTCGACGAACATGCGTTCTCCCTTTCTTAGAACTTTGTAAAGGGCGTCTTGACCTGTCAGTTTGTTTACCTCTTATAATAATAATGAATTGTTAATATTACATTTGTGTAGCGCTGAATAATTCTGTTTCGAAGTGCTTTTTTAATGTTGCTCAGTATTACCATTATCATTTGATGCAATTTTTATTCCGCACATACATGTACGTACATCATGTAAGCTTTGTAATCCTCTGGGACCGTCAGCCAGTCGCCATGTACAGGCACACCCATGCTTCGTCTTTTACAGAGTGCCCACTTACTACCCTGAATGGGGAGAAAAAATGTAATGGAAATGCTGTACTTTGAATAGAGACCATGATCTTTGCATCTATAGTATAAACACATCAAGTATTCTTCTTCTTCTTATCGAGTCACTACACAAGTCCCGTCTAGTGCTCTGGCACAGGCTCTGGCACGGCATTTGACGGCTTCCAAGTCTATTTAAACTCCTTGACTATGACACCTCGATGATATAATGTAAAGAATGTTAAAAGCCAAAAGCTTAGTTTATTACAAGTTCAATTTTCCGCATACTTTACGTCTACGGGAGAGAAAGGGAGAGAGAGAGAGAGAGAGAGAGGGAGGGAGAGAGAGAGAGAGAGAGAGAGAAAGGGAGAGAGACAGAGAGGGAGTTAGAGAGAGAAAGGGAGAGAGACTGAGAGACAGAGAAAGAGAGTAAGAGAGAGAGAGAAAGAGAGAAAGGGAGAGAGACAGAGGGCGAGAGAGAGAGAGAAAGGGAGAGAGACTGAGAGACAGAGAAAGAGAGTAAGAGAGAGAGAGAGAGAGAGAGAGAAAGGGAGAGAGACTGAGAGACAGAGAAAGAGAGTAAGAGAGAGAGAGGGAGAGAGAGAAAGAGAGAAAGGGAGAGACAGAGAAAAAGAGTAAGAAAGATAAAGAGAGGAGGTTAATACTATTACTCACTTATTCATAGATCAGACAAAACTGTTGTGGTGTTTATTGTATATTGTTCAATTGCCAGGTACCCACTGCCAAGTGAAAAATGATGTGCATAGAAAAATGCCATCATGTGTCCAGATCCCAAACAGTATTATGCCAGGAAAACATCACTTATTGGGGTTCAAAATAGCCCCCCCCCCCTCCCCAACCAAAAAAAAAAAAAAATCGCCTCGCCTCGCGACTGGTTGACGATGCCCTGCATGTTAGTAGATACCAAGAAAACATTACTGACGGGGGTTCAAAATAGCAAATAAAATTGCCTCGCCTCTTCGCGGCTCGTGGATGATGCTCCAATCGTCATTGGGTCAACCCCCCTCCCCCTTGGCAAAAAGCTAGATCCGCCCCTGAACCTTATCTATTAAATGCAACACTAGATTATGTTTTTCTTTTATTTCATAAAATGAAGTGAAATAAACAAAGGGTTTATTGCAGGGGGGGGGGGGTTAGGGGGTTAACCCCCCCCTTTGTGATTTTTTTTTTAAATTTTATTTTATTTTATTAAAAAAAAAAACCAACGGAACAAAATGTCAATTTTTCAAATTTCGAGACAAAAAAAAAATAGAAAGAAAAAAGTGTCCTCTTACCCCCCCCCCCCCGCTTATTCACCGGCTGGCTGAGTCATTGCGAAATTTTCGGCCCGATTTAAAAATGTTAACCCCCCTCGGGCCCTTGAAAAATCCTGCGTACGCTACTGTGTCCAATCTATATTTAAACAACTCCAATTTTTCAACTTCAGAATGTCAACAACGAATTATTATTCGCATCACACATTCTAACTTTAAACAAAGAATGAACATATCTAGTGTGCAAATCAGAGGTTGTGCATTTCTTAAACGTTCTTCAATAGTGCACACAGTACAACTTCTTATATTGTGTATGTAACTGTGTGTGTGTGCGTTGGGGGTGTTTGTGTGTATACTTGACTGTGGAAACATATCAAATCAATCAAATTCTCTTGACTTTTTTTCCCTGTCCCTTCTCTCTCTCTCTCAACCTAACCTACAAATTATATTGTTAGCTACACGTTCGATCTACATCCTTCATGGCTATAAAATATTAAACGGAGTGGAAAATCCGTCAAAGGTTTTTACACCCTGTTCATCGCTTCAGATCCCTCATACATTCTTAGAAGTATTTGTCTTTCAAAATCAAAACGTAGACCTTATTCACACACACTTCCTGGACCAAGTTATGGCAGGCTTGCTTCCCAGCGGTTTCACGTAAACAACGTGTTTATTCAATAGAAAAGCAAGGTCAAATCAAAACGAAATCGAGCGCACCGCCTGTATAACGGTCTAGCGGTGTTTGGGCGTGCAAGTAATGAAAGAGAGAAAGAGAAAAAGTAAAAGAATAAAAACAAAGAATGAAATAAGAAAATATAGAGAGAAAATCGTATAATGTTAAACACAAACGATGACATGAGGAAATTAAAAAGAGGAAGAGTAAAATGATAGGACAAAAACGAATGTTAACATAATCTAACTCTAGAAAGAGGAGAAAGTAGAATCGGATAAAATTAAAGAATAGCAAATTGAGAGAGAGGGAAAGGGACAAAAGGATTTTAAAATGTCAAGGAGAGAAGATAGAAAATATGATAGAGATTTAAAACAAACAAAAATGACATAGGGAAAGATAGAAAGTACTATAGGTGGGGTTAAGGGGGGGGGGGCCTATAATAATTTTGATATCATTGTGAAGAAAAATATTTATGCTTTATGCTGATTATAACATCTTCTTGACGCAAGAATGATTTCTATGTGAAAATCAGCCCTACTCTTTAGATTTATTGTCGAAAAACCCCATTTTCAAGGCGAAATATTTGTTTCCAAAATATATTTAACATGATTGTCATATAAGTATATAGAGAGTGCAACTTCTTATCTTTAAAATAAGACCCATTTCATGAGAAATGAACAATTATAAAGGCAAAAACTGCCGATCGGGAAGACCGTCTGCAGTACTCATTACGTATGCAAGACACGTAAATTCTTGCATACGTGCTGAACAAAAAAGAGGGTTTTCGCACCGGCTGCGGTCTGACTGCCCACCCCCCCCCTCCCAGTCCGCTCATGCGCGGAGCTCGACGCTAAATATATTACCCTGCGCTCAACCGTGCTGGCTCTAGGTGTACGTGTATTTCCGGGTTGACACAGGACGATCCTCATCATTAGAACAACGAAAGCACAGGAGGACACACAGTGTCCGAGCTCGGAGCTCCACTATACTCGACTATATTCTTACGAACCAGACTAGACGAAAAATAGCCACATTAATATAACAAATCAGTAGTAAAGGCAGCAGCAACAGGAAGAGCTCTGGAGGCCACTTGTGATGTACTCAAGTTCCACTGATAAAGAAACTTCGAAAAGTTAGATATGGGATCAAGGACGAAGTGAGTTACCCGCTGAAGACTAATATTTATTTATTAAGGGTACCCGTCATTGTTAGTCAAACAGTTTTTGAGCGTCAAGAAACGCCTGGCTGGAATGCTCCCTAGTTAGTGGAGATAGTGCACACAGTGTGTGTTTGGCAAGTATTGAATCCAATGACAGGGGGGTAATAATATATCTGTAAACAGGGGCGGCGCCAGGTTATTTTTTTTAGGGGGGCGATTGGGCGCGCCAAGCAGGGGTGTCTGAGGGGGATGTGCCCCCCTCATGTTGTTGTGTTGTTGTTGGTAATTGGTTAATGGCGTTCATTCAGTATTGAATATATACGCCATATCTTGAGTTTTATAAGAAAATCAGTTACACATAAGAAATTTGAGAATAATTATTAGGGATAAGAAGGATAACATCAAACAAACGATCTACTCAAGATGACGCTCTTTTCATTTCACCTCGCTGTTTGATAAAGTCGAGTTCTACGGAGCTAATACAAAAGAAAAGTTCGCTCTAAGGCCATATAAAAAATAAAAAAATGTTTTATTAGCGTCCTGTTTTTTTCGAAAAATAGGAAGGAGGAGGCCTTCTTTTTTTCTTTCAAAATGGCCGCTCAAAATGGCCGCTCAGTACATTTTCCCTGACAGTCGGGCTATTTTTCAAGATTGCCGCCGACATTTGTGACCCGGCACCACAAAACCAACAAAAAGTCGCAACCAGCGATTCTCCGTAATCAGCTAAAATGTCAATTTAGGTGAAAAAAATAGATTTTTGTTTTTTTACATTTTCTGAAAGAGTGGTCTTTTCTGTACCTAGTATCAAAATTTGGAAGTCTAAAACATAGTAGAAGATGTGTTTTAAACGGTTTTTCTAGACCACTTTTTTTCGCACAGCCTTCGGTCTCTTCCAAAATTTGATCACTTTTCCCGAGCGAAATTATCGTGGTCCGGAAATGGTCAGTCGTTGCTAACGGGTCGTGCTACGCGGGCTGTGATTGGTCCGTTATAGCAATCAGTGCGGCGCGCCATTTTGTTTGTATCCGCTTTCACATCCGAGTTCCAGATTTGCGTTCGTCTTATATTCTCCGTTAACGACTTCGAGTCGCTTGAGTTGTTGCATTTTCAAACTTGTGATAAAGGATGAGAAAGAGTTGTTGCATTTTAAACTTGTGATACACGATGAGAAAGAGTTGTTGCATTTTTAAACTTGTGATAAAGGATGAGAAAGAGTTGTTGCATTTTAAACTTGTGATACAGGATGAGAAAGAGTTGTTGCATTTTCAAACTTGTGATAAAGGATGAGAAAGAGTTGTTGCATTTTCAAACTTGTGATAAAGGATGAGAAAGAGTTGTTGCATTTTTAAACTTGTGATAAAGGATGAGAAAGAGTTGTTGCATTTTAAACTTGTGATACAGGATGAGAAAGAGTTGTTGCATTTTCAAACTTGTGATAAAGGATGAGAGAGAGAGTTGTTGCATTTTTAAACTTGTGATACAGGATGAGAAAGAGTTGTGACATTCCCTAAATAATTTTGTTTTCATTTCTGTGCTTCCAAATTTATTCTCCCATAAGAGTTTTGAAATCAAGTTCTTATTGTAAACACACATTCACACTCTTGGTATCATCATTTTGCTTACAGCTATCATAATTCTCCCCCTTCTTTTCCCTCTCTGTCTCTCTCTCTCATTCTTTCTATTTTTCGTTATTCTATGTTGGTGTCTTTACTGTGTGTCTCCTGCCTTTCTTTATTTTTATACCACTTTCTGGCTGGTATTTATGAATTGCTCCCATTAATTATCATCAGGATGGCTACTGGAAATGAAAGAGCAAGTCATAGTAAAAATACTTTGAACCTCCTGTGAGAAAGAAAACAGTATGGGAATTAAGTATAAAGCAAGTTCATAATGTGGTTACAAATAATTGCCCAGATGTATACAAAACAAGATAGGTGACAAGCAGTGTTATGTAAGGGGGAACAAAAAGACTCCGGGTCCACCATGAATAGGCATTGTCTAGTGCAGGTGTCTCGGCACTATGTTGCAGTTCACTTAATCTGTCCAATTACAACTCTATACATTTACAACATAATAACTTTTGAAAGACTTAAGTCCACACATTGAAACCTCAGAAACATAATGAACAGACTATGTTTGACCATCAGGCCAAATTTCAGCCTAATCTGAAAATCTCTTCATAGTGGTTGCTATGGCCTTTTGATTCACCCTTCTATTGATTTCCCTGGGGTTTGCTTGCTCCGCATGCTTGAATAGCCCCAAACTTTAAAGCTCTCTTTCTCACAATTTAATACCAGTAACCTCCCTCACCAGCTCTTTTCATTCACTAAATATTTAGGAAGCTTCAATTTGGACAAGTAATATACCATTTTAATGAGGAGAACTTCTTCTTTCATAATCAGATGAAATCAGGAAAATAATTTTTGCGACTTTTTGTTGATTTTGTGGTGCCGGGTCACATTTTTAGAAAAAAAAATTAAAATCAGTAATAGATCCATTTTAGCAGTGTTTTCATGTTTTTTTTCTTTAAAAAAAAAAAAAAAATTATAAAAAAAAATTAAATATTTTTTTTTTTTTTTTAATTCCCCAAAAATAAAAAATAGGAGGCGGCCCCCCAAAAGGAAGCGGGCGGGGACGCTAAACATGTATATTTTGTTAAGTGGCCTCAAGGAAAAAAACATAAAATGCCGTGGCAGGATTTCACGCCCGAGATTTGCCTTCGAAAATTGCCCGTCCAGAAGGCGTTTTAAATCATAACAATTCCATAGCTCTTTTTAAAAGTGGAATAAATAGAAAAAAAGAGTCCGGGAACTATATCGAGATTATAAAACATGTGTGTCATGAAGATGTAAACAAAAAAGCGTAGCCTGATAGTGATAAAGTTGAGCAGCAATTGGAAATGCAATACAAAACATTAATCAGTTCATGGTGATAATTTATCATTCGACTTCTACTTTGCGCTATATGTACTAAATGATCGCAAAACGGGCAGGGACACAAATACAATCATTGATTTTTGCTCTAACATTCGAATCATTTATTCGTAGATTTGTATTATTAAGTGGCGAAAGTGAAATTTTGAAAACATAATGCACAGATACAAAAACATACCAAACATGTTTTGATTCTTATTCTAAAAAAAAAAACGGCAAATTTTAAAAGATCTTTTTAAAAGGAGGGAGGCGCTATAGCCCAGTGGTAGAGCAGAGCAGCTCGTAACCGGGAGCTCCCTGGTTAGAAACCAAGTTGATATGCCATGGTAAGGCATAACTAACATCACATTTCGTTCGGAGAGGTCTTAAACCCGGTCCCCTGTTTGCCTAATTCAGAGCATACACATGCTTCATATAGCAGTCAGGAAAAAAAAAGCGAACGGTACAGGAAGCTACCTTTTATGGATAGGCCTAAATTGAAGGTTTGACTTAATTAGGGAGAAGAAGGATAACATCAAACAAAAGATCTACTCATGATGACGCTCTTTTCATTTCACCTAGCTGTAAGATAAAGTAGAGTTCTATGGAGCGAATACAAAAGAAAAGTTCGCTCTAAAAGAAAAAAACATAGAATGCCGTAGCAGGATTTCACGCGGCCGAGCAAGGCTATTGTTTGATCGCTATAATAGTCCGACTTGCTATGGATTCTTGTTTAGCTACAATAAGGCTGCGTATTATGTGTGTGTGTGAGGGAGGGGGGGGGGGGGGCGGCGAAGTGAACGGCCGGACCAAAAATGGCAGAGGCCCATCAGGAGGGCTCCCCTCGCTAGTTATAAGACCGCTATTCATTGGACAACTATTCATGAAGACCGCTATTCGTAATTTGAGAACATGGTCATTATGTATAAGGGTCATGAATTCGTAATACGACATCCCCCTCCCCAAAACTAAATAAATAAATAGAAAGCATGAATAGAATAATAAACTTAACTACAATGACAAATAATGCCCGGTAATTGGGAATAGCCGCCTATGAGGGGAACAATGGGCGCAACAACTATTAGCTGCTCAAAGAGCTGTCTTTTTTGCGTTGCAATAACAAAGTGCTTGTAAAAGTTACAAGTACTATAATATCTGTATGTTATATAACACACAATGTGAACATAACGTGTTCAAGGCCTTATAACTATATACAGTGCGCGTTAAAACAAAAGACTTTACTAGCGCTAGCTAACAAATATGAAACGTCAAAACGTCACGAACAATTGACAACAAATTGTTACGACAAATGCCACCACTAATACAATTTCTTCGCGAAGATTCATGTTTGGAACAGATAGGCGATTTCGAATTGTTCCATCTACCGAAACGTTTTGATGATGCAGGCTCCTGACAATACGACTATCATTTTTGTAATATCTTTAATTTGCAGATGTTTTTTTTGTTTCGTATGACATATTTATAAACGCCCTATCATCTTATTTCAAGCACAATCTTTCAATCTCATTGATTATAAGTATCATTTTTAAATCACGGGTTTTGAAATACAATAGCTGATTTTGCGAAGATTTAGAGAACCTACGTTTCTATTCTTTAAATCGATCTTGCACGAGAAAGAACAGATTGATGATATAGATATATGACCTATTTTGATCGGATGACAGAACAAAATAAATGTAATATGAAACAAATAATGTGTCAAAACATACAGAAGGAATACAATTATACATATCGTTTTTGTTTTGTTCGTGAACAAATTAATATAATACAAGTATTGACCACATTAATGAACAGAAATGAACAATCATGCCAACGTCAACGCCTACACAACTTCGATGTTTGGGAGGGAAATAAACAATCAGAACAACAATCTAAATCAATGTCTTGTACGTAAAAAAATAATAAAACATATCAGTAGCCAAGGTGAAAATTTTAGAGTCAAATCTTTCAAGACGAGAGCGGACACACACGCGGGGATTACATGAATAGGTAATGCGTAGGAACGGGCGCGAAAGCTTTTCTTTAAGCTCCCATTCACAAATTCACAATTCACAAAAAACTCTTCGCCGTTAAAGGTAAAGACCAGTTATGGTCATGCGATTGCATTGTGTAATATACAATTCCTTTCCAGAAGCTATTGCGACGAGCACTGCCGGGAGATAACATGCTACCCACCACTCGGGCTGTGCATGCAAAGATTTGCGAACGAACGTTCCATACGTACATCATGTGGGGAAACTGAATTCAGACAAGGATGAATATTGCAGTAAAACGAATTGTCTTCTTTCTCTAATAATTTAGTGAAGCGGCAAAGCTTAAGCGCGGGAGGGGGGGGGGGGGCAACCGAATTAAGACTAGGATTAAGAGTTATAATTAAATGAAACGTCAAAGTATACGATACAACGAATCCTTTTCTTTTCCTAATAATTTAATGAAACGTGAAAGCTACGCGCGGGATGGGCGAAAATGATTTCAGACGTGGATTAAGAATCAATCAAATGAAACGCCAAAGATTCCGCGCTTCGCGCGGGAGGGGGGGGGGGGGGAGGAAACTGAATTCAGACAAGGACTCGATACAACGAATCGTCTTCCTTCTCTAATAATTTAATGAAACGGTAAAGCTTCCGCGCTTAGCGCTGGATGGGCGAAAAGGAATACAGATAAGGACTAAGAGTAATAATTTATTGAAACGTCAAAGCTTTGTCACTGAACCATGACTGTACGCAGCGGGGGCTAGGGTAGGGGGCAGTTTCCATAAATATAAAAAAACACAGAAAAAGCAATAAATTTTCAATAATTTATTGCATTTTACCCCGGTTCCCAACATAAACAAATCTTATGTGTACCCATGCCTTGAGCCATAATGCATGGCCGTCCAGAGAATTTTTTTATGTTGGGGACCAGGGTAAAATGCAATAAATTATTGAAAATTTATTGCATTTTCTGTTTTTTTTTAAATTTATGGAAACTGCCCCCTACCCTAGCCCCCGCTGCGTACAGTCATGGTTCAGTGACAAAGCAATGGCCTCGCAACTGTGAGGCCCCAGGATCAAAACCGTGTCGATGTGCTATATTAGTGCCCTTTTGTGGGGCATTGATCCTCATTACTGTCATTTATGACTTAAGGGCGTAGGTCCCCTAGTTGATAAGCATAGTAGCACACACATACTTCAGCAGTCACGCAAAACACACATTGGCAAATTATTATTCAATAAAATCTGAGAATGTATACTATTATCTAGATCTATTATTTTTAAATTATTTTTAAAATAATTCCGTAAATTGAGGTAAAAAAAAAAAAATTTAACCTTTATGAGCAACAGTGTATGTATATTTGTGCATTGTGTCGATGTCATGTTATGTTTTTCCAATTTCTAAACGATTTTGAGTGTAATTATTTCCTATTTCAATGTCATGCTTTTTATGTCTTTTCATACATTTTAATGTAAACGCAATATGTAAAATCCCACAATGAATTTCCATGTTATTATTGGACGAAATAAAATTGAATTGAATTGAATTGAATTGAATAGCTGTTAGTGTATTGCTTCGCTTTGATACTCATCAGAATGTAACATATTATCGCTCAAAGTAAATATGGCTCGAGGAAACATGATCAAGGAGAACATACACATAACATATTCCTTGTTTCTTTACTGTCTCTTTCCAGAGAATTCGCAAATTACTCCAAACTGTCCCGCATAGAAGAAGAGATTGGCAAATTCAGAAATGGCGCCGTCAAAAGGAAAAAGGTCACCGCGCATGCACAAAATGGCGGTGAAATTCAAAGTTCAGAGAAGAAGACATCAAGATCATCGCCACAGGCCTTTCATGCCCCTGATGGAGGTGAGTTTTGAGTCAGAATTTTGTTCCAGTAATTCTGCAAGGATTTTTTTAATAAAAAAAAACAATATATTTTTAGTTATTAATAGTTCGCCATTCCGTAACATCCCAATACAGAAGCCAGACAACCCACGAGAACGACAGCCCCAAAGTAAAGTCCAGTAGTGTCAGTCGCAGGAACCCTATAAGAAAAGTCATGAGAAGGCCAATAAACATTACCCAAATGTGTCGTTCTTTTAAAACCTCTGAGAACTTGTCAGAGGACCCGCAAGACCATTCGCATGTGGCCATCCATATATCTATTTGTTATCTTGACTATGTTGTTTACAATTCTTAATAAGCGTTGATGTTATTATGTCTAGGTTATGGATGGTTCATTCTACTTGCTGCTCATTGTACGCTCATCTTCAGGGAGGGGATTGCTAAGTGCCTTGGTGTATTCCTACCAACCTTCCGAAGTTACTTCGATGTGTCCACGTCTCTGATTGGTTGGATTAGTTCCATCTGTGTCACGTTTGCTGATTTCACAGGTATGGTAGCTTTGAATAACAACTCTAGATTAGTACAGAAAACTTTCATCAGTTGGGGATGATGATAACATGTAGTTTTTAAGCTTCTCCCAACCTTAAATTTGTTATGCAAGCTTTCATCCACTCCTGTGGACTTTCTCAAGCTAAGTGGTCAGTCTGAGACAGTCACACGTTTGCTTCGCTGCACTGCCTGGTGTCCTGCGATCACTGGATCAAAGATCGGTGACAATAGGTACCCGGAAGCGAATTTTTTTTCCGTACTCGAGAGGGCAAATACCCCATGTGCGCATGCGCGTGGACTTATGATTTCTCTGCTACTTCCCATACGAAATGTACATGTATTCGCATCTACTGTGCACGATTCGCGTTCTACGAGTAAACGATGGCATAGTAGTCTTCAAACACAGACTCTGATTTGCCAGTTTGACAAAACAATTACGCATATATCGTGCGTAGCAATAGTACTAGTATTCAAGTCTGAGTAGTTGTATGATTCAGACATTTTAGTGCTTACAGAAATGCATCCCAAATTGAATAGCATGGTATAGTAGTCTGCAAGCACAGACGCTAATCGGACAGTTTGACAACATAGTGTCTTGAGTAGTGCTTTATATTCAAATATGTGTAGTTTTATGATTCAGACCCTACTGGTGCGTGTATTGGAAAGGCATCTCAACTTGCAGAGTGGCATAGTAGTCTGCAAGCACAGACGCTAATCTGACAGTTTGACAAAATAGTGTTATTCAAGTCTGAGTAGTTTTATGATTCAGACCCTACTGGTGCGTGTATCGTTGTGTTAAGAGTTAACATCCTTCTGGCTCTCAGCAGACCATGATTATAAATAAAAGTAATACAGAGAGTGCGAGCATACTGGAGGGAGGGCTAGAGAGAGAGAGAGAGAGAGAGAAAGAGAGAGAGATATGGAGAGAGAGAGAGAGAGAGAGAAAGAGAGAGAGATATGGAGAGAGAGAGAGAGAGAGAGAGAAAGAGTGTGAGAGAGCAGTGGCACAATACATAGGCCTACCATGGGGTCTGGAATCATTAAACTACACAAACTTGCATAAAATCACTACTCATCAATACACAATATATTATTATGTCCTTGCAGACTACTATACTACACTCTACACATTGAGATGCATTTCTAACGCACGCACCAGTAGGGTCTGAATCATACATCTACGCAGACTTGAATAAAGTACTTCTCAGCACACTACTAGTATGTTGTCAAACTGTCAGATTAGCGTCTGTGCTTGCAGACTACTATACCATTCTATACAAGTTGGCGACTTGAATAAAGTACTTCTCAGCACACTACTAGTATGTTGTCAAACTGTCAGATTAGCGTCTGTGCTTGCAGACTACTATACCATTCTATACAAGTTGCAATGTATTTCCATATGCACTACTGGGTCTGAATCATACAACTACACAGACTTGAATAAGCACATCGCGACACATACGCATATTGATTTGTCAAACTGGCAAATCAGAGTCTGTGTTTGAAGACTACTATGCCATCGTTTACTCGTAGAACGCGAATCGTGCACAGTACATGCGAATACATGTACATTTCGTATGGGAAGTAGCAGAGAAATCATAAGTCCACGCGCATGCGCACATGGGATTTTTGCTCTCTCGAGTACGGAAAAAAAATTCGCTACCCGGAAGTCCCTGTTTAGTGATGGCTTCATCCTCTTAATCCATATGGAATCTTTCACTCTTTCACTCTAGATTAGTTGCGCTACAAATCTATATGACAAGAGGTATACAGCATGGGACTTCTATAGTCTTATATATAAAATAAGCATCACATTGAAAGGAATGTTACACGCTGGAATTTGGGTGTGTCAGGTATACTCGGGCGTAATCGACACAACTTTCTGTTTTAAGAGGTGTTACGCATTTACATATTTCCCTCTGTACTTTCATGCATGTCTTGAGTTATGTACAGGTTACTCTTTATACAATACACACATGTTATACCTGTATAAATTGTTTTCTTTCTTCATTACTATGAAAACCCAAATCTGCGCATTTTAGTCATAATTTGGTTAGTTCTGTTGTATACGGGTCCCCACTCAGAGGTCGGAATGACCGCATGCGTGTTGCCAAAATGTCCGGTAAAGGGGTACTTTTCGTGCGACAAAGTCCGGCCCGAGAATTGTACAAAAAAGGGGTGTATTTGACTTTTCACCCGGAGATTTCTTTAAAAAAAGGGGGTATTTTTCATTTTTTTCCCTCTCATATCTTTGGACTCCTGAGAACTTATTCCGAATTTAGGGGGGTACATTGAGCATTTTTCCTGATTTAGGGGGGTCTCCAAGGCAGGAAAAGCCCGCGAAAAGCCCGCGAAAGGGGGGTTCGGAAATGTTGGCAGTCCTCAGATAGGGGGTGGTTTCAAAAAGAGGGTACGAGCATATGCGTACCCGAAATAACACTGAGTGGGGGCCGGGATACGGGTGTGAGTGTTGGGCAATAAACAAAGAGCTTGGAAGAAGATAACAGGCAACATGACCGGGTTCTTGTTACTTTGTCCCCTCAGAGAGACCATACAACTGAAAGCCAGTAAGTATTGCAGTCTCTCCAACGGCTTCCTGTTAAATATCGTATAGATTATAAGTTACTCCTGCTTGTATTTCTTTTTTTTTTTTTTACATGGGTCTGCCCCTCAGTTTCATCGTAGTGTAATTAGCCTTTATATATACAATCCTTCTAGACATCTGAGATCATCAGAATCATCTTTGGTTGTGTTGCAAACTCGAAATTCTTGGGGGATAGGGCTTTTTCACGTTCCGGTCCGTTATCTTGAAACAAACTGCCACAATCTTTTCAATTCAATTAAGTTTTATTTCTGTTTCCAACAAAACATTGCAAATCAATAATAATCATTTACAAACATATTTGAAACAAAGGGGTCCACTAAAAAGCAATAATAGTACAATAATATTGTGAACCCCTCAAATGATAGTTAGGAATAATGAGAAATCGAATTTCGGAATTCGTAACTACAAAAAGGAACTAGAAATAGGGAGGAAAAATGGATGCCAACAGAGACGAGAAAAAAACTAGAAAATACTTTACATGCCAAAGATAGGAGAACACGGTAACAATACAAAAAGAAGACGACGCCAAAAGAGAAGTGAGAGATCGGGGGTACAGAAAGTAATTCAAATGGATGAGCTGCATGTGGGGTTGAGAAGAAGATGATGAAGGAGATTTGTGCATTAGAAAGGAGATATGCATGAGAGGGTTCTAGAACACATACCCCCTGGACAACCACCCTCTACAACTACCCGAGTACCCGCTACCCCTGGACAACTACCCTAGCCTCTAGGACCACTACCCCCGGGACAATCACCCTCTAGGATGATTACCCCTAACTAACTACTCTCTAGGACAACCACCCCTAGGACAACTACCCCGGACAACTACCACTAGGACAACCACCCTCTAGGACAACTACCCCCGGACAACTACTCTCTAGGACCACTACCCCCGGGACAATCACCCTCTAGGATGATTACCCTCCATCTAACTACTCCCTAGGACAACCACCCCCTAGGACAACTACCCCCGGACAACTACCACCTAGGACAACCACCCTCTAGGAAAACTACCCCGATTCATAATTACCCTATGAGTGGTTATTGTCCTCCTCTCCTCTCAGCTCTACTATTATGTAAAGAAGCTAAATCCTTGAATATTGCACAATATTGAGTTGTCTTTCAGCCAAGTTTCAGTTACTCCCATAACAGAAAACTGAAAATTCAGACTATTCAACAAAGCAGAATACCATCAAAGTTGCTTAGAATACTACGACAATTATATGTAATATGGAAACATTTATCGAGCTCAAAGAATATTTAAAAAGGGTAGAATTAAGGTCATCAGGCAAATAACAAGATTATCTAATGCATGTAATTACTTCTATCAATAATCAATACACAATAATATACATGTGTAGTGGCCTTGAGTTAACATCGTTTGACAATGGTTTAATACATGACTTTGGTGCTTACGTATTGTTGCAAAGATCACATTTTGCCTCTTAGGCGCTTCCCCAACCTTTGTAGATTTCGGAATACAGGGAGTGCCAATAGGGACTTTTAGAATTGCCGAACGACAACGTGGATTGCTACGATCGACGTCCTTTTAATGCACTGACTTGAATGGACGTCACACGTATCAGTCCACGCAAATCTAAAAGTCCCTATTGTCGCGTTTTACTGACCCACTTCTTATCCCTTTCTTCCCTGACGTCGGATTTCACTGCCTTTCTCAACATTTTCTAATTGCTATCTGATATTCAACTAACGACTTTTTCCTACAACGATTGCCGTCTCTACATTTCCATAGGATTTGGTACTAAACTTTGGACTGGACTTTTTGTAAGACATGTAGTGGCATTCAAAATCTACCTGTGACAAATTGGTCTAACAAATGCACTCGTTTAAAAACGAATGAAACGATAATTATCTTCCCACTCGGCTTTGTAAAGTACTGGAGTGGCGTCGCACAGGCCTAGTTCTCGGGGATGTTGGTTCTGAATGGCCTTACCCCCTTCAGCCTGCTACTTGAATGGTTTCACGGTGTACCTATTCTATTGTATAGGCTCTATTGTTACTTTGAGCTGGTAGACTTGCGGTAGACTTTGCGACCGGCGGGTGTACCGAAGTGCTGACGTAATGCTCGGCGGTCGTCAGCTTTGTCGAATATTGGAGTGGCGCGCTGGCGGGCTGGATGGGGATGTGCTTTTGGTTATTCTTTTTTGATAGGCCTCTATATTCTACCCGTCTGGGATAAGTGGCCTTTCGGCATGGCTGGAGTGGCGCCGCACACCGGTACTCTCTGTGTCGTTAGCATGATTCATCTGAATATACAGTGCGTCCCAGAAAAAAACGAAACCGAGAATTATCGATGTTTTATTGTAACTTAATCACAATTATAATTAATAAATAACACATATGTGTAAAGCTTAGATCCTCCTCTTTCATTTGATGCAACTCATATGATGCATATTTCACGCATGAGTGGTTAAAAACAATTAAATGAAGAAATGGTCATTTGGCGAACGGTATCTGAATTTCAAAGAGAAAATCACATTTCGAGAGCGTTCATTTTCTGTCCTTTCATATGACACCTCAATCAGGAAAAATGAACCAGGAATAAGACAATTCTGTTTGTTTAAAGTAATGCTTGCATTTCCATAATTTTATTATGCATGGCTGATCGTCAACGAAATGGAGTTTGTTCTTTTTTGCTACGGCAGGCAGCCAGTGAAAACGAATTCGTTTAATAAAATTATGGAAATAATGGATGCGAAATATAAATTGTATGTTCTTTTTAACTATCAATATTGATTCAGGTTTGATAAGCGGTCCTTTATGCAGACGCTTTGGATGTAAGCCTGTCGCTATGGTCGGGGGTTTCTTTGCTGGACTCGGCCTTACACTTGCTGCTTTTACGGTCGAAGTCAGCCAACTCGCAATATGTCTAGCGATTTCAGGTAATCACGTAATCTGATTATTTTTCCTAATTTTCCACTTGGAATTAAATAAATGTTTTTATTCTCCGGCTAATGGCAAAATCATGAAACTAGATTCAGTCTTCCCTCCGTCTTCAAATCATTTGCACCTGCTTATGATTATCTGAGACATACATTTCATTAATTGATTACATCGCATTTAACAAATTTGAAAGATTGGATAGATGTGATCATTGTAAGAATGAATGCCTGATAATGTTAAATGTCACAGGTGACCTTGATGGCCCTACTAATAGCGTTTGATATCCTCGAATCGTATAATTTATATAAATATAAGATGCTCCTTGACATATTTGAGGAGTTAATAATAAAAAGGAACAATACTTGTTGTTGTTAATAGGTAGGTTGAATATGACATTGTACAGAATACTTTTCTAGTTGCAACAATTTTTCTTTACTAAAAACGCTGATTTCGGCTCCATACTATATGAAAAACCTTTTCTTTACAAATCTGATATAAACAAATGTTTCCCTAATGAAATGGTCACAACCCGCCGTGCGTCTTTTTACATTGTGCGTGTCCAGAACCGCGGTCGGATCGTAGGCCAACTTTTGAGTATCCCACATCCTTCTTACAATATCTCGCCGTGGGCGCCTTTCCCTTCACACGCCCACTCTTACGATGGTAGGCCATTAGTTCGACAAGCGTTATAGCCTGAGCTGGCAAACGGTCTATCATATGTCGGGTCAGGTGTAGACACCTTCTCACAAACATACATTCCCTTCACCTGCAAGAATCCAATAGGTGAACTCCCACCCCTCGTACAGGTATCTTACAACTGCCTTGTGCTACAACGGCTGCGCGCGTGTCACGTGCGCTCATCAAGAAACGTAGGTTTGGACATGTCGTTAAGAAAACATTCTGCAGCCGATTGAGTGTTCTGCGTTCTTTGAAGAAACGTGTAGACCCGTGGGTCCGACGCAAGGATTTTCTACAAAATTTGTCGTAGAGAGCAGACGCAAAGAGGTACGCGACCGGTTATGACAAAGGATTGAGTAAGGGCCTTTTTAATTTTCTCTTTGTACAATATCAAATTATGTATATGATTTTATAAACATGAAGGTGCCCCTGTAGATAAAGCACTAACAAGTTTCACCCATTTATTTTCTTTGTGTTAGGTATCGGTCTTGGTCTTTCTTTGACGCCCAGTCTTACGATGGTAGGCCATTATTTCGACAAGCGTTATAGCCTGGCCAACGGTCTATCATATGCTGGGTCTGGTGTAGGAATCCTGGTCCTCGCACCGGTAGCCCAGGTCCTTATAGACATATACACATGGCGAGGTGGTCTCATGATATTAGGAGCACTGGGTTTCCATGTTAGTGTATGTGGTGCCCTCTTGCGTCCTCTCCGAGTTGATCAGCGATCAGATCGACGAAGAAAGGACAAGATTGAATACAAATCCGTCGAAAACAATGGACCTTTATCGCCAAACGATCGCTTTGAAGACAGCCATACGAAATCTAGTGAATTAATAGAAATGCAACATGTAGAGCAGAGTGAATCTGGGGATAGGTACGAAGACAGGGCTCGCCTTTTAGAGGACGCAGAAGATCCAGGAGATCCTATCGTTACCGATTCGGACGAATACTCCAACAAACTTGAAACCCACGATGAAGACGAAGACGAAGCCAAGTCAAGGGCCAATCGATGCATTTCTGTACTTGGGCTTTCTTTGTTTAAAGACGTTTTCTTCGTCATACTCGTGATCGTGCAATTTTGCGGGCGGTTTGTTTACATGGGTTGGCTTATATATCTCATACCTCACGCCGAAGAAAAAGGAATAGCGCCTCTCGAAGCTACCTTCATAGCCTCTATAGCCGGTGTGTCAAACATTGTTACTCGGGCTGGGCACGGGTTGATTGTCGACTATAAACTGCTTACTGCTGCCCAACTTCTCACCATAGGTTCGTTCGTGTCAGCGTTGCCCATGTTGCTAGATCCTGTCTTAAACGACTACGCTTCGTTAATGGTGGGATCACTGACCTACGGTGCAGCCAGTGGTGTATTCTTCCCAATCGCCGTAGTTGTGATCAAGCAGTCCATCGGTATGGAAAGATTCCCCAATGCTCTAGGATGGTCGTACGGTTTCGCAGGAGTCGGACGGATGTCTGCAGGTTTCATTACAGGTACCTCATGAGTTTGCTTACAGTTACAGAAATAGGAATTTTCAAATTATCAGTGTCAAATTTGCCTTGAAAGTATTCCAGATTGATGGGAAACATACACACTTTAACAAAAGCAAAATTAAATCAAATAAATAGACAGTGAGTAGGCCTTCTTTTAGGTACCCTGTGGTTACATACCATGATTTAGTTGACTGTATTTGAGGATGTAGCCCATATTCATGCCATTTAACTCTTATCAGAAGAATGCCAACAAAGTTTCCAATCAACATTAAATTACCAACATGGTAGCGGACTGAAACCCAAATGTCTCGACGATCTGCACAAACAAGAATGAAGGAGGTTTAAGGGCTTAAAACTGTAGGCAGTCCCCCCCCCCCCTCCCCTAACAAAAAATACACATGAACAAAAAAATTCCTTCTTTGTTCACAACAAAAGCTAATGGATAACTTTTTAATTAAAGCGAAAAGTTATGTCCTTTAATTTTATTCGACAGTTTTTGTTTTAAGTTTTGTCTGTTTAAAATTTGGTTTCTGCAACCCTCCCCCCCCCCCAATTTTGCCGCCAATAGTTAATCAATGCGTTTCAAACCCTAGCAGATCAAGAGCCATCTATAGACATAAGTTAGCCAGCTTGGTTGTAGTCGGTACAAACATGACGTATACAACTGTGCCACAACTGTTTAGCCATTTTCGCGAAAAAGAATCCAATGAAACCGCTCGCGAAGAGCCTAGAACCGTTAGGGTTAGTGAAAGGGTTATAATAATCATGCGAACGCTGCATCCATCAACTTATCGTTGGCTCAATCGGTAAGGATAGCGTACAATCTTGGGAGTTGTTGGTTCGAGTCTCGGTATTTATTCTGTCCTATTATTTAACTTTATAAATATAAATATTGAGGCAAAGCAATACAATAATCAAAGTCTATGTTCAGCTCTAGCGATCCAAAAATACCACGAAGAGTAATGTTAGACTCTCTAGTTGTTCGCTCAGTATATTTGACTGAAGTGGCTAAACAGTTGTGTGAAGAAAATAGACGCCGTATGTGGCCAACTCTCCACATGAAGGACCTAACCCTGGTTGAGGTTAACGCCACTTACGTCCAAGCGGGTCGCACAAGTCCGTTTTATTTTTTCTCTATTTTGCAAATATATTAAGGTCGTATACTCTCGCCTATAACATCTCATCTCTTATCATTTTTGTTGATATTCTTATTCATCCTCTCTCTCTCTTTGCCAGGTTGGTTGTTTGACCATTTCGGGAGCTACGATCAAGCCTTCATCCTGCTCGGTCTGATCCAAAGCTTCGCAACGGTCCTGCTCTTTGTATTCCTCTATATCTCCAAATCTCCAGAGGGAAGAAAAAAATGAAAATACACCCCATAAATGTCTGCTAATTCAATTGAATCAAATTTTAACTTTCGCCTATGCCTTGCACATCCTATTCCTCCATTTTGCTAGATGACAGATGTAGAATAAAAAGAATTATAATTATGTTTTATCTTAACCAAAACAGAGAAGGAAATCTAGTTTTTCTTAAAAGGAGTCGTATTAAAGCCCGTTTACAGTGTTGAGAGCCCCAAATTCGCCAAATATTAGATGACAAAATTTCACTTAGATAAATTATTGTATCATAACGTGAAAGAGGATGTTAGTTACGATACACTTCTGCAAAAAAAAAAAAAAAAAAAATGTGTTTGAAGATATTTGTTGAAAGAATTCGTAATGAGGATTTTCTGTTGTACGTAGAAAACCTAAAGTTTGTTTTCTTCTATCAATATTTTACTTCAAACACATTTGTTTTGAAAATCCTTGCAGAAAATGTATTTTAAAAGACATCCTCTTTCACATTGTGATACATTTTAAATGAAATTTTGACATCAAATTTTAAAAATGAAAAAGATATATCATAACAAAGTACGGTAGGTATGACTAACAATTCTAAAACTTTTTGTTTTATAATAATGCAGGCCATTTTAAACTGTAATGCTTTACCTTTCACAATCGTTACCTAAATATTGAATTATAATGGTAAATGTAATGATAAAGGTCATTTTAAACTGATGCTTGAAGAACATAACATTCTTTATTTTATAATTGTCTTTGTAAAATATGTATTATATATGTGAACTACGATGAGGTTGTTATGACATAAAGCTTGCAATATTAAAATGCTGCACTTAAAGGAATAGTTTCCCGAGTCAATATATGACACGGTTTCGAAAATCTTACTGGCTTCCTTGACATAAGCTGTGATTAATATTGATTATGATCATTCTTATATAAAATATATAAGATGTAAGAAGGAACTACTCCTTTCAAGCTGCTCAAACAACCATGACGTAATATATACGTTGCTGCAAGAGAGACAATCATGTATAGTGTGCAATTGTAGTTGGAACTTATTTTTTCTTCTAAAATGTTCATTTCTTTTGCTGCGATAAAGTGCCTGTGACAAATTAAAAGTATATATAATGGAGCAAGCAATACTTTTTTGCCCGTAAATTTAATTAAGTATGACTGGAAACTAAATATTAGGTTTGCACAGTCATTATTATGTACATATTTCATTTCATTATTCAAGGAGAGCTGTTAAAATTATTTTACGAATATATCCGTATCTGCATACATCCGTCATCAAATTCATTATATATTATATATTACCCGTATATATTCACAATTCTTCGTCATTATGTAGTTTCAAGCACAGTTTATGTACAATTGATGTGTTTGAAACAATGAGTAGGAAATTAGATTATACTATTTTTTGTGAAATAAAAAATATTCCTTTTATTCTAACGTTTGCGTGGATAACATAATTCATAAAGTTTGCACATATACATCTGTGATGTTTTTAAACTGATGCTCTAATAGCATCACATACTTGATTACATATTACTGTCTTTAAACATTTTAATTTTTGTTATGTTACCTAAGCAATGAATTTTGATCGTAAATGTAATAATACAGGCCCTTTTAAACTATAGTGCTTTTCCTTTCACGATTGTTACACTTTTTTGGCCTAAATATTGAATTCTAATGGTAAATGTAATGATATAGGTCATGTTAAACTGATGCTTGAAGAACAACGTTCTAGTTCTAGATTTTACAATTGTCTTTTTAAAATATGTATTGTATGTGAATTGTGAGCTGCAATGATATACCTCTTCCTTGACATAAGTGTGTGATTAATATTGATCATGATTATTCCTCTATAAAAGATTTAAGATGTAAGATTGTAATATGATTTCATTTGTTTTGTTGAATTGTAAATATATATAATGTGTCAATGTTGCTGACTGCCAACCGCGACTTTTTGATACCATTTTTGTGGTTCAAGGACACCTACCCCCTGGAAATCCACCACCCCTCGGATATCCACCCCAGTCAACTACCCCCTAGGACAACTACCCCTAGGACAATTACCCCCTAGGGCAATCACCCCAGGACAACTACCCCCCGACAATTACCCCCAGATAACTACCCCCTAGGACACCTACCCCGGACAACTACCCCCTACGACAACCATCCTCTAGGACAATTACTCCCGGGACAACTATCCTAGGGGGTAATTGGGGGTAGGTGTCCGGATACGCATTTTTGCATATGCTTTTTCAGTAGAACGGAAATGTAACAAACAAAATGTAGTTAGCAGGCGGGTGTGTGTGAGTTTGTGTTGTTAAAGAGTGAGCTAGATAGAGGGAGGAACAGAGAGGGGGATAAAGAAAGAGAGAGGGAGAGAGCGAGAGAGAGCGAGAGAGAGCGAGAGAGAAAGATGGGGGAGGAAGAGAAAATATGGACCACCTGATAGACGGAAATGATGGAATAGCGGAAATGAGAAGGGAAGGAAAAGAGGAAGAATTAGTTGTATTTTTTCAAGGATAGACTAAATGGAACATGAAAATCCGAAAGACAAATAAAGTTTTAGATAGAGAGAAAGGCAAAGGGACAAACGGAAAAAGGTTAGTGATGGAACGACTTTGAAGAAAGTAGTAGAGAGAAGGAGCAGGGCATAAGGAATCTAAAGTTATAGAAAAAGGATATAATTATAGAGGTGACGATGATATAGGTTTTCCCGGCCAATTCGCAGTATTTTCAGTCCATTTGATAAAGCGTTAATTCAATGAGCCATTTTTGCAATGAAATCAAGGTAAGGTAAGGTAAGGTATGGTATTTATTCATCAACATATCGCAGCCAATGGCTGAATTGCATGCATGATTTACAGAGATTTGATTAAAAAAATGAAAAACATATTTACAATTCGTTATTTAACAATAATTCAAAGACAGAAAAATCAAGGTAATTGCATTATTCTTTAAGTGCCTCGTTAATAATTATTTCATTCATTTCTTACGAATAGTTGTATTTCAATAGTCAGAATGCGAATTACATACATGTTAGGTATGGCAAGTAAGAATGTTTGTCCTACCTAGCAATATCGAATGAATGCAATTCTCATTCTGACTATTAAAATACATTATTCGTAACAGGTGAATGAAAAAACAGGAAGAACAATATAAAAGAGACGTATTATCCTTTGATTATTGGGCTATATACAACTACTTTGTTGTGACCACTGCTAATGATTTCTTTTTTTTTAATCAGAAAAAAAAAATCCTTTTTTATAAACAAAGTCCTGAATTGAAACCATTTTCTTGTAAACTTATTAATTCTACAGTTCGAATCTGCAATATACTTTTTTGAAATAATTTATAATCGAAACTCTACTATTATCAAAGTTGGGCAATGTTTTCTTTATTTTGCATGTTTACCCATCTGTCGCACCACATCAATATACCATTCAATGCATACTTATTTGAACCTCTTAAACCAAATAATTTATCTTGTAGTGGAAATATCATTCTATTTCCGGTTCTAGTATACATCCAGTGTTCCAACCTATCCCAAATAATTTCGTTTATGTTTATAATGCGTAGAATCACATAGCAGGTGTAAAACTGTTTCGCTCTGTTTATTACAAAATGTACATTCTTCTCTTGGGACTATATTAATTTTAAACAGTAAATCATTGGTATATAATATACGCTGGAAAACCTTAAACTGAAACCATCGTAGAAACCACATCAATGGTACAATTAAATCCAATGGAACAATATGTTTTCCAACTCTTGTGATTTAGGTCCGAAATGCATTTCCATTTAAGAATTTTTTTACATTTACCCCTCCTTCTCTTTAAGACAATTGCATAGATATGTGAACATCCTTTAATACGTTTCATAACCAATGCCATTGTATCTGGTAAAAGGGGTTGTGGCGCCCTTTAAAAAGAAGTACAATTGCTAAACCCTTTTCTAATTGCATCGCATAATTCATGATGAAAAGAGAACATTTATTTTAATATTATACGTATCTTGGAAATCTTCCAGAGAGAAAAAAAAATAACCATTTGTCTCTAAAATATCATTGACAAAACGAACTCTCCTCTTACACAATTTTTTAATTGCATACATTTTGTGTTGTCATGTATATAGGGCAAGCGTCTCTGTCTTACCTATACAGTATAGCAACAACTACTGCATGCAATTCGCATTCTGGCTATTGAGATACAATTAAGTATAACAGGTGAATGAAATAATTTGTATCGAGGCACTTCACAAAGACGTACGTACATATATATTAACCTGGGTTACATTACGTAAATAGCCTACTGCCGAAAAGTGATCTCTGGCATTAAACATCGCAAATGCGTTTTTTGAGGTTTTGACCTGAACTCTACTCACCAAAATGAAACCTGCCTGGTTCATAGTCCGCCATTTTCGAACACAATCCCAAGGTCCCTTATTTACATAAACAAATATCATATCGACCGATCTTTGAACACATTTGGATTCTAATCATCGTTCTTTTATTGTAAAACGCATTTCATCCAACACGTTTATAGACGTATCCATAAGTTCATGAAGTGAGTCCCGGGGAAGGAATAGGTTATCTCGCAAGACTGGCCTCTCTGGCCATTGGTTCTGGATTTAAAAGGTGAGAGAAATTCGATCTAAATCGTAATCCTTAATTTCTTATTAATGCAACTCTTTCTGGGATGAGTAGTACTATATCAGCCTATTTCAACCTTCTCTTTATCATTACCTACATGCATAAATAATATTTGCATAATCAAACGTTATATTTGTGTCCTGCACTTTTTCATGAATTCACAGCGTGTCTCACAGGAATCGTGCACGGCTAAAGAGGATCTCGGCATAATACGAGACAACTTGGCTCGAGGTTGTATGTTTATTTCCTGAGGTCTCTGTAAACAGGGGCGGATCTAGCTTTTTGCTAAGGGGGGGGGGGTTTGACCAAAATAATGACGATGCGGAGCATCGTCCACGAGCCGCGAAGCGGCGAGCCGATTTTTTTTTGGGTGTTTATTTGAACCCCGTAAGTGATGTTTTCCTGGCATCTATTAACACAATGGAGACCATAAAAAGCAGTGCATGATAACGTCTTTTTAAATCAAGTAACAGTTTAATACATAGTTATATCCAGAGTTATCATGTGTTTGGTTAAGTTACCAGATGAGTTGAATATCTTCTCACAATATTTGCACTTGAAAGGGTTTCTCTCCAGCGTGCGTTCTTTTTTCTTTCTTTTTTTCTTTCTTTTTTCTTTTTTTTTCCTTTTTTTTTTTTTTTTTTGGGGGGGGGGGGCCGCCCAAGGGGGGGGGGGTTGCAACCCCCCAACCCCCCCTGGATCCGCCACTGGTAAACAATCCGTAGAAGCGCTTATCATTGTTACGGGACAAATGTTCGTCACTTAAACTTCTAATATACATTAATCAATGGCTCTAGGAGATTTGAAAAATTAAGGATTCGTGATTATTATTCGTCACTATAATTCATACACATACAGGAAAATGATTTAATACACGGGGCGGGGGCGAACGTGTTAACTGTAGTCAGTGGCAGATCCAGGCTCCCCCCTGGGAAAAAAACGTGTAAAAACACGTTAATGTAACCCTTTTTTGGAGATCTCGAAAACTTGAAAAATCGCACCCCCCCCCTTTGGCGCTCAAGAGGGGGGGGGGGGGGGGTGCGATTTTTTAAATTTTCGAGGGCAAACAAAAAAATTAAAGCACACTACCCCCCCCCCCCCTAAGAAATCATGGATCCGCGTCTGACTGTAGTATCCCCTCTTTAGCATTAGGTCTACACAGAAGTTTGTTCAATAGTACCAAAGTTCATTGATTAACTTACTGCTTTGTCATCAGTCATCCTTTAGACAGAACAAAACGTATTTTGGAATATGATGTGAAAACGTGAAGGAATCATCTCCATAAGGACCTATTTCTTTACTGATATAACTGATGTAAAGTAACACTTAAACAAAATATATATCATTTTCTATAGTAAGTTATCAGGCGTTCGATATGGCGCCAAAGATTACGCTGATCACGGGCTGCTCCTCTGGCATTGGTCTTGCTACAGCTGTGAAGCTTGCCCGGGAAGCTGCGAAAGGGTATGTGGTGTACGCCACGATGCGCAACCTAGACAAGCGGAGCGAGCTGGAGAAGGCCGCAGGACAGGAGCTCAACAGTACCCTGTTCGTTCTCGAGCTCGATGTGACGAAACACGACACGATCACGGCTGCGGTGAACACTGTGATAGAAAAGCACGGTCGTTTGGATATTTTGGGTGAATATCAAACAATAATTTCAATACGTTAGTATAGCATGCACCCCCCCCCGCCCCGCTTAAATAATAAATGCAGTATTATGCCAGTCGTGAATAATCAAAGGCATACAAGGCACAATTGTTTGGAAATACAAATAATCGGGCAATTCTCACCTCATACCACAGAGATTCTCGAATATGTCATTTAAATACCTTAATAATACCTAGTGTATTTGATGACGATAATAAAACGTTTACCATGATAATCTTGTTTTCATTCGCTCTGCTCGCTCACAAAATGTTTGCCTCTGCGGGTGATATTATCAGCGTTATATCTTGCTACAGATGCTACGAACCTAGTGGAAGATGACAGAAAGGTGACCAGTTAGCTCGAGACCGTCCTTATTTCTTTTATCAACACTCCTTCTTTTCCGTGTTGGGGGTGTTCTCACTATTCAGCATGATATAAAATCAGGATAACCTTATAATCATGATTATCATAAAAGTAAAGAATCGACATCACCGGAGTACGGTAAAATTATATAGATGCATATTCAATCTTTTGTAACTTGAGGCAAATTTTTCTTTCATGTTTCTTTTCTGTATCCCTTTTTTTCTTGACATTACCTTCTGATCATCATTTTGCTTCAATGATCTCTTTCTCTTATTTTTTTAATTTGCCCTATCCCTTTCTCATTTCTCTCTGTCTCTCTTTGATATGTGGGTTCCGTGTGATATTATTTCTCCCCCTTGAAACGTATCGACCAACATCAGTCAACAACTCGGGTATTGGCAGCTATGGTCTCCTTGAAGACACCACCTTTGAGCAGATCAGAAGAGTCATGGAAACTAACTTCTTTGGGGCCGTTAGGATGACCCAGGAAGTGATTCCTATTATGAAGAAGCAGAGGTCAGGGCGTATCATTAACATCAGCAGTACCACCGGTATATTTGGTGAGCGGAAAGATGCCTTCATAATTGAAAACAAGATCTAAAACTAGGACTTCTGGGGGTGTTTAACAAAGATCCTAAATCGAACTTAAGTCTAAAAATTATGGAGAGCCATTGTAGCCTTAAAATAAAATATATTCAAACGAAAATTCAAGGATTTCAGACTTTTATAAATTCCACATCACCTTAAGAACATGAAATCTCTTTGATAATAGAGAATATTGAACGATTTAAATCAAAATGTTATGCCTTTTAAAATAACTTTTACAAAATATTTCCATAGATGCTAACGGCTTTCCATAATTGTAAAGTCCAACATACAGATAAGTTCAACTTAGGATCTTTGTGAAACAACCCCAGGATATATAGAGGGAGAGAGAGGAGCGGTGAGAGGCAGACAAAAGGAGAGAGAGAGGGGAAGAGCGAGAGAGAGAAACAGAGAGAGAGAGAGAGAGAGAAACAGAGAGAGAACGCAACAAGATATTGTAACAAAATCATAAGTAACCATGCATGAATAAACAATGAATCTTCGGTGCAGAAAATTTGGAATTCAGTTGATACTCTCAAATTTTGTGACAGGTATCCCTTACATGGAGATCTACTGCGCCTCTAAATATGCACTGGAGGGTTTTTCCGAGAGTCTAGCGGCCACCCTTCGACCTTACAATATCTGGTAAGATTTATTCTCCCTAGTACCTTCCCCTATTTCAGCTCGATTCTTCTCCTTCTTCTCCTCTCCCTACTCCTCCTCTTCTTTTTTAAATCGTATTTATAACCTTCAGAGTTTCTTCGAGAGTCCAGCGGCTACTCTAAGACCTAATTCAGGGAAGACCTACTTCACATTCCCTTCCCCTATGTACTCCAGCTCCTCCCCCTCCTTCTCATGGTTGTTATGATTGAATAATGTCTTTTACGTGGCGATCTCGCAGCGCCCGATGATGTTGGCCATTTTTAACCTTACCACTTCATCATTCGTACATCCCCTAGCTACTCCTCCTTGTCCTATCGTGTAACTATACCAAAAAAAAAACAAAAAAAAACTTCATCAATTATAGTATGCTCTATATACATGAGCATGTAGCTTTGGACTTCTAGAGGCTTTCTTCGTCTTCCTGCTTTTCCTCTTTATCCTTCTATTGATCTTACCCCCACACCACCTCCAAATTCTCCTCCCTTGTATATCCCTCTCTACACACTTTCCTCATCTCCTTTGGTCCCTTTTATTGAAGGGTAGTAGCATTTTTCTTGATGTTAAGCGTTTAAGGCATGAATTATGGATCAATAAGAAAGGAAAGTCATCAGGTCTTCGTGATTTTGTTAAACAAACAAGGCATTTCATACATGTTTTATATTTTTACCGAGGTGTATAAATAGGTTTGTTGCCAGAAACATTGTGAAACGCTGTAACATCATACGGAGCCTGGTTGGAATTCTCCCCTTGACGGAGTGAGCATGCACTGTATTGGGTGTAATTACCTCGTTAGTTATGAGGACCGCTATTCATAATTAAGGGACTGCTATTCGTAACGCGGAACTTCCTATACGTGAAGGACCGCTGTTCATAACACGGAAATAGGGGTTATTATATCCTGCATCAAAAATTTGTTGGCTTTTGATTGGTTGAGAGCTCGTCACATGACCAAAAATATTTGAGCTATTTTTAGAAAGTACTATATGAGAGTACTATTTTGGTTTACTATTTGGGAGTTGAAAAAAAAAATGTGAATTTTTTTTTTGAATTGAATCAATTTTTTTTTCTTCAAATCTTAATTTAATGAAAACAAAATATTTTAAATCTTTTTAGATGAGATGAGATTTTCCCAAAAATGTTTTTGTTTTTTTTTTTTTTTAAATAAATTTTTGATGCAGGATATAAAACAAATATACCATGCCTTCTATTCGAGGTACTGGTTAAACTATGGGCCTCGGTGACTCCAAAAGTACCATTTGCTTCGGGGCTGCGCCCCTCAGCAAATAGTACTATTGGAGTCACCTCTTGCGCATAGTTTTAACCAGAACCTCTCAAGGCTGTGAATATTTGTATACTATTCATAAAGGTATAAGAACTGTTATTCGTAAGTACCGCTTTTCATAATGTGAGACGAGGGTCGCTATTCATAATTCACATTGAGGGTCAGTACTCATATAGGTGTGGGTAAAATTTCTTTTAATTCAACTTTTCTCTTTGACATTCATCCTTTTTCTTTCTCTCAAATGTTCAGGGTGTCTACTATTCAACCTGGGCCGGTCCATTCCAAATTTGGCGAGAACTTGGCGGTCAATGACCTCCCGACTTTCGACTTTGCCCTTCAACTTGACCCGAGTGACCCGGTTCGAAGGTCGGTCGAAAAATGCTCTTCGGTTCTTCGTAAAGGTTTTGATAACCCTCAGGAACCGGGAGATATAGCAGACGTCATCCACAGAGCAATAACAGACGACAGGCCTCATTTTCAATATCCGACAAGTCAATTTCGCGCCCAGTACGCAGCCAAAAAGTTTGTTGACCCTTCAAATGATGCAATGGTAGAATACTTTGCTGATGCATGTACTCCATGAGATGCAAAGCCCCCCCCCCCCCTCTTCATATTGGAATGATGTCATATATATCATCACCAAAAGACGAAGGGTCTCTTTGTAACCATGGTTACGAGCAGGGTGTTGCTAGGGGAGGGTTCAGGTTACACATTGACCAGTCTCTTCTTTTTTTTATTTAATTATTTCTGTCGAAAAGATGTATTAAGGAGACCGTATTAGCGACATTTTTTAAAAACATTTTCTTTGCACCTGTCAGGAAATTTAGAATTAATTGTACTTGACATCTTTATCAAGGATTTGTTAGAAAGTGATAATCAAATAAAGAAGAGTGAAATCACTTTTGTTGGGCCAGTACTTTTACTTTGAATATGACGGAATGATGTATGGCCAAACAAATTTTTGGGATCAATTTATTATGTCCTCCTATATTTATGTTGCATTAACACAAAATGAAAAGAAAACAAACAGACATATAATTTCCGACTACTATTATTTAAGATCGTATTATATAATTTCTAGGCTGTTTGATTAAAGGCAATATGATTTATTTTATACCAAGTATAAAGGAAACCATAAACTAACATCATATATTTATGTTACATACAGATAGATCTCTGAAGATTTGTGATTAACGTCATCTTTTGTTGTATATTTTCTCCCTCTTTTTTCTCGTTATCGGTACCACCTCATCATTAACATTAGACCTTATATTTACTTTGAATTGTATACTTTTCTTTTATCATTGGGGGTAGTCCTCGACAAATCATTTTTGATTTTTGACTACCCCTTCTATATTTGCTGATTTTCTTTTTTAAACATACATTCTTCAATATGTAGTCGCTTTATATATACTATACATGTTCTATTATTGTATTGTATGTATGTATTTTATTGTATATATTTTCCTATGTTTGGCATTTGTGGAGAAATAAATTGAATTGAATTGAATCGAATTGAATTAAATATTAAAGTCCGATGAACGTGATCGTACTGTGAAGTTGTTAATCTAACCATGACATCTATTTGTTGTCTGTTCGATCGTCCGTGTTTAGTTTTTGTTTAATTTAAAGTATTTTTTGAATTATTGTTCAAGTATATTGTACTTTGTAAGCAAGGCGCCCCTGATATCAAAGGTAATATGTTCCAAAAGTATTAAAAGGGAAATCACAAGGTTCATAATTTGTGTTTCAATCAATCAAGTTCAAAAGATTCTGACTTTTAAAAAAACGCTGTACTTTACTAAAATTCTATTTAACTCCTTGTCACTATGCCATGCATACCCACTGAAAATCTGCTGGGAACGTGCCAGGGGCGTAAATCCGTACCGAGGAGTGGGGGGGGGGGGGGGGGATGATCGGCGATAGCTATCACATACTAGCACGAGCACACGCCCACACTAATTTACGCAAGCGCGCGCGATTGCGCACGCACAAACACACAACACATACACATACACACACACACCACACAAACGCACACACACACACGCACACACACAAACGAACAAACAACAAACAATATTAGAGAAAGAAGACGATTCGTTGTACCGTTCTCGAAAATAATCCTCGTCTGAATTCAGTTCCCCCCTTCCCTCCCGCGCGAAGCGCGGAAGCTTTTATGTTTCATTAAATCATTAGGGAAAGAAGACGATTCGTTGTACCGTTCTCGACTTTTAATCCTCATCTGAATTCAGTTTTTCCCTTCCCCCCTCCTGCGCGAAGCGCGGAAGCTTTTACGTTTCATAAAATCATTGGAGAAAGAAGACGATTCGTTGTACCGTTCTCGACTTTTAATCCTCGTCTGAATTCAGTCCCCCCCCCCTCCCGCGCGAAGCGTGGAAGCTTTTAAGTTTCATTAAATCATTAGAGAAAGAAGACGATTCGTTGTTCCGTTCTCGACTCTTAATCCTCGTCTGAATTCAGTTTCCGCCTCCCCTCCCGCGCGAAGCGCCTTAGCTTTTACGTTTCATGAAATCATTAGAGAAAGAAGACGATTCGTTGTACCGTTCTCGACTCTTAATCCTCGTCTGAATTCAGTTCCCCCCTTCCCTCCCGCGCGAAGCGCGGAAGCTTTTACGTTTCATTAAATCATTGGGGAAAGAAGAAGATTCGTTGTACCGTTCTCTACTTTTAATCCTCATCTGAATTTAGTTTTTTCCTTCCCCCCCTCCTGCGCGAAGCGCGGAAGCTTTTACGTTTCATAAAATTATTGGAGAAAGAAGACGATTCGTTGTACCGTTCTTGACTTTAAATCCTCATCTGAATTCAGTTTTTCCCTCCCCCCTCCCACGTGAAACGCGGAAGCTTTTACGTTTCATTAAATCATTAGAGAAAGAAGATGATTCGTTGTACCGTTCTCGACTTTTAATACTCATCTGAATTCAGTTTCCCCCCCCTCCCGCGCGAAGCGCGGAAGCTTATACGTTTCATTAAATCATTAGAGAAAGAAGACGATTCGTTGTACCTTTCTCGACTTTTAATCCTCATCTAAATTCAGTTTTTCCCTTCTCCCATCCTGCGCGAAGCGCGGAAGCTTTTACGTTTCATTAAATCATTAGAGAAAGAAGACGATTCGTTGTACCGTTCTCGACTTTTAATCCTCATCTGAATTCAGTTTTTTCCTTCTCCCCCCCCCCCCTCCTTCCCGCGCGAAGCGCGGAAGCTATTACGTTTCATTAAATCTTTAGAGAAAGAAGACGATTCGTTGTACCGTTCTCGACTTTTAATCCTCATCTGAATTCATTTTTTTCCTTCTCCCCCCCCCCTCCTTCCCGCGCGAAGCGCGGAAGCTATTACGTTTCATTAAATCATTAGAGAAAGAAGACGATTCGTTGTACCATTCTCGACTCTTAATTTCTTTAAAAAGGGGGAGGGTTTTTTTTCTCTCTCTCTTTGGACTCCTGAGAAATGTAAAACGGAGGTTATAAAATATCTTGAATATCATAGAAAAATTGATCAAATCCCGGGATCAAATTCCTGAAATTCCTGCTAGCTTTGAAAGCTCATTCAGGATTATTTCATTTTGAAAAGTAAAAGCATTAGCCCCCAGTCCCCCTCGATCGACTAGAGCTCACCTGAAATGGGGGGGGGGGGGGGGGGGGGTTGTTGTACATTTAGCAGTGTTCCGGATGGGGGGGGGGGGGGTCTCCAAGGTAGGAAAAGCCAGCGAAAAGCCGGCGAAAGGGGGATTCAGAAATGTTGGCAGTCCTGAGATAGGGTGGGGGGGGGGGTGCTTTTAAAGGGCGGGAACGAGCGTACGCGTACCCTAAATAATACTAAGTGGGGGGAGCCGGGCATCTACTGTACATGATTGCACTTTTTAAGCGCTCGCGCGCTGGCGCACTTTTTGGAAACTTAGAATCAAGAACAGAGTCATTCTTGATTATGAATTTCACAAATTACAAAACAATTTGGTGTTATTTCATAAGATATGGTCGTACAATAATGTACTCTTTCTTTCAGATGATATTGATCTCACATGGTTGATTTAATTGTTGTTTGTGATAAGTTTGTCTTGAGAAGAAGCTCATAGTTGGAAGTTATGAATTCCCATAATTTAATCGTTTTGAAACACTCTATGGATGTGTAATCTTTTGTAATCAGTGTTTAGTACAATTTATGTTTTTTCTCAATTTCTACCGTCGAAATTATTGTTTTTTTATGAATTGTTTAATGGTTACTTTCTCATGTATTACGTACTACTTGTTGTTGATTATTGGTATATGATTCACAAACACTTATTATATTAAGTGCATCACTGTTATTTTTTTTTGTCTGTTTTAATTATTATATGTATTGTAAATAAAGTTTTACTTTCAAAAGTCAAAAAGTCTTCTTCTTCTTCTTCTTCTTCTTCTTCTTCTTCTTCTTCTTCTTCTTCTTCTTCTTCTTCTTCCTTTTTTTTCTCTCTTTTTTTTTGCAATATCAGGGGGGGGGGATGATTGTACAGGCCATCCCCCCCTATTTCAAGCTAGGGGGGATGCAGCCCCCCCCCCCCATCCCCCGGGATTTACGCCCCTGGAACGTGCCCCCCCCCACCGTTTCGGATACTCATGTGCTTCCTCAAAGGATTCAACAAAATTGAACACGATGATATCTCTAACATAACTTCGTCAGCTGGACGCAAGAGGGCCGTTACTGCCATTGGCAATACAAGGCTCTGGTTCTTGTGGACGGCCAATGACTTGTCATACGTCTCAAACAGAATTTGTAAAGTTTATCTAAATAATTAAATACGACCCATTGATTTTAGTTTTCGACAAAAGATTCTCCATCGTCATTTAATATTCATCATACACCAAAATGTACATAAATGAGATTATATGATTAAATCTTCAGGTCATTTATTCCTTTTCATACGATTCAAATTTTATGTTTAAATTTCCATTTACACCCTCAACTTTCTTGAAATAAAACTATTAAAAGCAATGTCAATGCTTTGTGCGTCATTCTTTTGAAATGCGCGATTGTGTTGACAATAACGAAATACGTGATCCCAAAGTAATTTTTGTGGATATAAAAAAACTTCTTGAAATTGCCTTTCAGTTGATTTATCGAGAATAATTCGAATGATTTGATTTGAATTTAGTTCCGTATAAAAAGAAGTACAATAATCGAAACATTACACAATATTTACACATACTTTTTTATAAGAGATAAATGGATGGATGGCCCTACTCAGCATCCACCACCATGGTGGCGCTGTTCCACCAAGGGGTCCAGAATTTGATACAAATATATAGAAATATGTTATCGAAAGTCACTATACACAAATGAATAATTAAACAAAGACAATTATATTACAATTCAATTTAAAGTACAACAGAAACAACCTAAGTACACCCACAAAATGTATCAAAGTATGCATCCATTGATATTAAATATTGATTTAATTTGTATCATTGCAAAAGGGAAGGTTATATCGAACAAGGTTATCGACATTTCCCGTTTGGAAAAATTCAAAGTAACGATTATTATCAATTTTAAAACGGTAAAATACAGCCCGTCTTTCGCACTCGAAGAGGTGGAGACCTGTCGCGATATCCCCTTCTGTGTTGGAGTGTTCCAATTAAGGCCCGAAATGTGGTTTCGTTGATAATCTTTCGTCCACCTGCGTTGTACCTGTAACCAATACGTAAATATGATAAAACAGAGGTGATAGATAAATAGTACATCGCTCATTTTTAAGGTATCTCAGTTTTAGAGCAAATAATATCAATAAAATTAATGTTTGTTCAAAAGAGACTGGTTTCAGGGACGAAATCATTGATTTGAAAGTCTGCATTATTTGATTTTACTCCACATAATTACTTCTGGATGAACATCGTGAAATCTAGTCATCATCGAGACATTTATTCATCATCATCATTAAAGTTACCCATCATTATGAATTACTTATTGTCAAACTACAGTCATCGTTGTGAAATCTAGTCGTAATTTAGTCATCATCGAGAAATATAGTCGTAATTTAGTTATCATCATGAAAATTAAATCCTGACCAGCAACAGATGAATGAAATTAAACCCTTCTAAATTAACATAAGCTTGTAATAATTGCTACCAAAACAGTATCCTTAACTAACACTGAGACCGGCCCATCATTTGATTCCTTACAAAAAAATATCGCAAGCAACAATAATCATCTATTCACGGTTCAGTCATAAGTAACCATTTTTTTGTTTTTGCTCACCCTTAGAAGTGATGGTTTCACACCGATCGCAACTGACGGGACAGTTGGACAACATCCAGGAAGGGTTGGCTTCACAATCGCCCGCTTTAGCCCAACCAGCACAGTTCTCGTACATGTCCATGCAGTCTGCACAATAAATCAAAATTATT